CAAAAGAAAATATATTCATGTAAGTATATTATGAAATGTTCATTGTGTCTCCTTAATTTTAAGACACTCTCCTTAATATGAAGCCAAATCTCGAGATCCTTGGCGTTGATTGGATATATCAACGCCAAGGATGACGTTCAGTTGCGGTAATTTGGAGGTAAGGCTAAAATAGCATCTAAAAAGTTATGTGTTCTCAAAATGCACAGAGATCGTTTGCACTTACACAAGGTATCTCGCCGATTTCATTTCAGAACCGACCAGCTAGAATCATTGGTAATCAATGTCTCTGTTACAAAAACTTTGATTCCGGCACTAAAACCAAAAGAAAATATATTTTTCGTTTCGTCAATAGCAAATAACCACTGTTCGTAACCCTAACAGATCAATCCCCACAAGTAGCGCCCGTTCACGAGTATGACGGATGAGGCAGCCATCATTGCACTCAACCATATTAGAGGGAACACATTAATCCAGCCCACCACGCCGCCACAAGTTTGAATGTTATAGCGAGCATAACTGCTTCAAGTAACTCCACTACGTCATTTATAGTATTTACATAGTCTGTAACAATTATAATTGCATAGGTACATCATCTCGGGCGGGAGCACCATAATATCTTGAAATGTCAACTGAATAGTAGTAACATGGGTGTCACATGATAACGCGATGTGGTAGTGCTGTTACTGTAAGTGTTACGATTCACCATCACGTGGAGCGTTTGTTTGCCAATCCAATTATATAAAAAAACGGCTACCATTACCACCATCACGTGAGCCGTTTGTTCGCCATTCCAATTCTTTAAAAAAAATAATTGAAAGTTTTCTAGTAACTTCCATAATTTTATTATAAGTAGTTGAAAGTAATAAGTTTGCAGTAATCAGCATAACATTGTTGTAGTAAAAACATCACATGTTAAGTATAAATAAATATCGCCACTAGGTTAAAATCTAACTGTGTTTGAAACATTTTAATTTTATACCATTGAAAAAATTTTCCGCGTCCAGCAAAGTGACGCGGAATTACGGTATATAACCTAGAAAATAAAGTTTTGTATTAAAATTCTTGTAGTGTAAAACCCACGATACACTGCCAAGCTATGTTTTTTATTAATATAGCTTGGCCCCATCCAACTCGATGGTGTAGCGGTTTAGAATATGGCTTTATTTTCGATGGTCGCGCGTTCAATTCGTTAAGTGAACAAAATATGTAGTGAAGAGGGGAAAGACGATTGTTAGTAATGTAGCTTAATATCCCTACTGCTAGCAATGTACCATGTCAGGTTGACCTCCACGCGGTGCCTCCAGGAAACTATCGTGATAATTTCCTGGTGAATTTGTCACGATGGGCTAACTGACCTGACCTCGTGTTCATCTTATAATCCTCCACTGGTGCCACACCAGCGTATACCATTACCCGCATATGGAAGCACCATTCTATTAAATAAATATAAATAAATAAATGTAACGAAGATGAAGTAAGTTTTCATCTGGGCGATTACGGGTGTCCCTTCTCGCCTTGTACTGCTAAATTTGTATCTAATACTGAATAGTTTGTAACTATTACTGCTAAATCTTTTAAAATAATAATATAATAATATTAATAATATCAGGACAATTCACAAGACGCCATCAAGATGCAAGATACCTAAAGCTTGTCTTATGGGTACTAGATAACTGATACAAATACATAAATATATATTTTTTCATAAATTCATAAATATTATACATAGAAAACACCCAGACCGATACAAACAATCATACTCATGAATACAAATGTTTGTGCCGTGCGATGAATCGAACCCGTGACCATCGGAAGTAAGGCGGTATGCTAAACAGATAAACCACCTAGGCTGTCTTTTAAAAATAATATTTTTTATTTTTTTATTTATACTCTTTATTGCACCAATTACAGAATAAAAAAACCAATTAAAATAGAAAATATATTTTGATACTAAAGGCGGTCTTATCGCTAAGCAATCTCTTCCAGACTACCTTTAGTTGGATAGAGAAATAAAAATAAGAACAGGGTAGGTAATAAATAAAAATAAATATATATGACTCATACATAAATATAAATATATATACATATTAATACATATCTACTTACACGTACATATACTTAATAGTGCACATATATTTGGAAAGAATGAAGGAAGATTAATTAAGAGAATAATAAGAAATTAATTAAAGGGAAAGAAAATGGGTTTTGACAGATGCTTTAAAGCTGGCAAGTGATTGAATGCTCCGAATGCAAGAGGGGAGTGAGTTAACATAATGAAGTGAATACCGATCAATCGATATCTGAGTGTAGGTAACGAAAAATGTTTAAAGATTACAGTGTACGGGTATGCATAATTAACTGGTTACAATCAGTATTGTTTATTTATTTAAACGAGCCAGCTTTTTAACCTTGTTGTAAGAATCACTACGTAACAAATGAAATGCGGGTGTAGGTAAATAGCAAGGGCAAACAACTCTTTTTCTGTCAAGTCACTATCATTGTGGGAAGCATTGGGCAGGGCGCATAGCTCGTAGGATAGATGGCCGTTGGGGTAGGAAAGTCCTCGAGTGGCGACCGCGAAGACGTGAGAAGGCCTCCACAGGGTGGACCGTTAAGCTGTGTGGTATCATGATAACGTGATGACCGTAGCGCGGTTCGTGTATGTATTTTAAATTTATGATATATTGTTAAAGAACATATCTAAAAATTTAAGTCATCGTTTTCAAATTAAGTTTCTATCAAATATATGAACATATATATTAAAGTATTAATAATATATGTAAAAACAAATTTCCTAAACAAGAAGTTACATGTTACATAAATATCAACATAACATTATGTCACTGCTGTCCTTTCTAGGTCATTATAATGGCCTGTATGAAGGACTATATGCGGCTTTATGTCTTTTTTTTTTTTATACTACTATGGTGGCAAACAAGCATACGGCCCATCTGATGGTAAATGGTTACCGTAGCCTATGGACGCCTGAAGCACCAGGGGTGTCACGTGCGCGTTGCCGACCCTTAAGAAACCTTAATATACCCTTCTTGAATAACCCCATGCTGTTGTCTCGTGAGAAAACCTATCTTGCCATCAGGTGGACTTTCAGACTGTTTGTTATTGGGCACATGCCCCACGATGGTTTGGGTCTAGTCTAGTCCCTACTTAGTTACCAAACGATAACCAATAGCTACTCTACTCTCGTCTGAAAATCAGTCTTAACAAATGCTTACCGCCTATGGTTAATTTGTTCGTTTTTGTTAATCTTCTTATATATAAAATTCTCGTGTCACAGTTTTCGTTCCCATACTCCTCCGAAACGGCTTGACCGATTCTCATGAAATTTTGTGAGCGTATTGAGTAGGTCTGAGAATCGGCCAACATCTATTTTCATCCCCCTAAATGTTAGGGGTAGTCCACCCCAAAATTTTTTTTTTTTATTTTAAGGCAAAACAACGTTTGCTGGTATAGCTAGTTATTTTATAAATATCTAACAAGAACTTAAACTTGTCATCACATAAAGACTTTTTAAAATTATTTTTGCCTGTTTGTTTTGAAGGTAGGGTATCCGCATATATATATCTATAGAGTCACGTTCAAAAATGAATTTGTCTATTCTAACAACATCGTGCTTTAATACTATAGTCATAGGGGCCCCACTATCGTAATACCCAAGGCCTCTAATAGGTGAGAGACGGCCCTTTTTGCGGTTCCAACGACAAATTTTTAAATCTTTCGCATCGCCTTCACTGTACTGCCACCCTTATGTAGAGGCTCAAGAAATGTGACGTTTCTTATGTTTTTAGGTTATTGTAATTGCCGATGGCGTGCTGTAAGCGGGTTGTTGGTCATATACGAGGCAAGGACCTTGCCGGAGCAATGTTAATTAGGACTATTTGGACGGTCAAATGTTTATCATTATAAACCGACTGCATAAAATGAGAGTTCATAGTTTACAAGTAACTTTTATGTCCGTCATTCAATTTATAGTGAACAATTATCGCCCAGTGGTCGAAATTCGACCATTATTAATTTATTTAACTTTCAGTAACATCATCATCATTATCTGCTTCTTCCTTATCCCATTTATTTGGGCTCGGCGTAATATGTTTTTCTCTTCCACTCATCCCTATTAGATTGATTTCGAGATGAGATCTGACAAGAAACTCATCTCGTATTCTTTCAAAATGTTGTACATGTTTACAATAATACAGATTCATTTTTAAATTCAAATTTAGGAGAATAGAGTGTAATCTATTCCGAAACCTCGATTAACTGACTGTGCCGCAGATGTTACTAAAAATAAACAACGTGTTTACGTATCTCTATGATATAAATTCTAAATTACCAATTTCATTGCAGTTCCTATTCGTCTAATATAAATAAACATGTTTAAAAATGTATCTTATACTCCATTGACGTACCTCAGTCTAATTATAATTTTGTAGATTCAATCATATATGTGTTCAGATCGAACATATCCTGAGCTGAAAATGCCCTAGAATAAAATCGTATCGGATGTTGGCCGCCAACCGCTCCATAAGTCCTTCCGCGTGTTTGGATCAAATATATGATGCTGTAAAACATAAACAGCATTAGAAAAAAACTTGTTTTTTATTATAAATAAATTAGTTTTAAATTTTGAAACTTATTCCTTGTGAGACTCTTGATCTGGTTCTTATAGTACGCATAACACAAGCTTTAGCTAGCTTTACTTGGATCTAGATGGCGCTGTGTGAATTGTCCTCAGATTATAGAAAAAAAATAAAACAAACTGTGTAGGATCATCAGGCATCTTTATCATGCCTCGTATCCTACAATTTCACTGCCTAATCTAGCCTTACAACCGATACACAGATTGTGAAGCTAGCTGTTTGGTTTCTGAAATAGGTGAGACTAAGTTACACACGCAGATGACTTTGTAGAAAAACTAGCTCTAATAAACTTTATTCTCTTTCCAGATCCGACCTCCAATCGAAAAATGAGAAGATAATACAAAGATGGCATTAAAATTGAAGTTCAAAGACGAGCACGGTATACTACAAATCAACATGAGTCCATCCAGCACACCGCAAGTCGAATCCAACACCCAACCCACTGACGAGCAGCGAAACGAGATAACCGATCCAAAATTCGATACGATCAACAACCGTTTCGCGCAGTACGACTTATTCGGGGGCAAATATGATACGGACGGTGGGGAGACCCCGCGATCACTGTTCCGAAGCCGCTACAATAGCATAGAAGAGGAACTTGCCAATACGCCTTATGCATTCGCGACGGAACGCTCGTTGCGACTAAACAACAACCTATTAGATATAACAATACAGTCGCGATTAGACGAGGCATCGCCGTCCAAAGATATAGAGGACGATCGATACTTCAATCGGAGCGAACTATTCGGTCCGCAAATCGATTTTCTATCGAAAAGTTCGACGAAAACATCGGACGAGGAGGAAACTCCGGCGTTCACTGTAACGCAGTTGATTCACGCGCAGGACCGATATTTCGATTTGTCGTCGCGACAATCGAGTAGTGTTGTCGATAGTCCGAAGGATAAAGTGAGTTTTGAAGTGAAAAGTGTCGGTTCAGGGAAAGAGAGGACGGTTAGGATTGTTGGTAAAGGTGGTGACAGTGGTAAAGATGAGGCGTTCAAGGTGCTTCCTGAGAGGGCAGTGAAGAGCGTACCTCCGAAGCCGGCGTCTGCGCAACCGTGAGTACTTTTTAATTATTTTTTAAACTTTATGCACATAATGTTAGGTACATAGTACATAGCGTTCAAGAGTCATATAAAATAATGAAAATACAATCTATATGTTACTTGAAATTTCAGAGAAAACATATTGAATTTAAATAATTCTTTGTTATCTGTAAGATTTACCGCCGATTATTTCATCAAAATTGAAATGGTTGTCTTTTTCTTGAAGATACTACTACATAATGAGTCTCCTTAATATTGGGTAAGGTATGGGACCTTACCCAACTGCTTAAATAGACAGAGCCCAGTACTATAAAATTAAAACAAGAACTATTAAAATTTAAACTCTTTCATGGCGCTATGACAACTAAAATTATGATTAGCAAAATCACATAAAAATACGACAATAAAAAACAAAAATCAAATATGTTAATAACAAAAACAATTCCACCCTATTACTTAGTTTCTTAATGTGTACATTTTTTAACATATATATAATGTTTGATATATTATTATTTACGTTTATTTCATTCTATTCATGGTTGTCTGGAAGAGATTAACCTCTACAAATTTTGTTCGTCATATTTGCAATATTTTCAAGTGGAATGAAAAGTAATAGATATTTTTTTTAATTATATTAACCAGCGTGTACCTACCTATTAATATTGTTTCTTAATAATATTTTTTATTTATAAACCGATTAGCATAAAACAAAAATTAAATTTTAAATAAAACTTACTATACATTAGTGAAAACCGCATACAAATATATTAAGTGTTTTTTCAGATCAGTTTATGATATTGTAAATACGATACGAATAAGATTACACCCTGGAACATGTAAAAACTTGACTGTATTAAAAATTATAAGTAAAACTTACTATACCTTAGCGAAATCCGCATACAAATCGCTTAAGTGTTTTTCAGTTCAGCTTATGATATTTTTTTTTTTTTTTTTATATTTAAATACATTTTTCCACAGACATATTCGTCCGTGCCTTTTTTAATTTACTTTAATATTATAATATTTATTTAATTTCCATTTTTGTACAACTCCAGCCGAGATGTTACAATTTGCCTAACAGTGACACCGAGGCAGACCTTATCCGTCTGGCCCAGAACCACCGCTGGCCGGCCGGGTGAGTTGACAACATGCAGTGTCACCCATCTTTATTTGGAGGATTAGATTTATCAATATGCATATACAATTATATAAATCTTACACTACTACTAATTTCACAGTTTTCATTACATTGTGCAATGTAAGAATTCATAATGTAACAATACACATTATGAATTCTTACACTGCATATACAATTATATGAAATCTTATTCTAACACTATTTTCAAAGTTCACTATTTGTTATAGTCCAGGTTTTGTTTAATTATTGATTGTTTAATTTCACAGTTCACTTTTTGTCGTAATTCAGCAATTTTTTTTATGCTTATGATATTGAAAACACCATTCGAATTGAACTCTGGAACGTGTAAAAAATTAACTGTATAAAAAACTAGTTTTGGAAAAACCTGTTCTTTATACAGTTACAATTAGTTCGCGATACGATAATATAACATAATCAACAAATACTGTTTGTTACACATAATTATTAAGTGGTACGTCTTACTTTCAAAATGACTAGCACATGAAATTAGACATTTCGTAATAAACGTCATTCATTTAAGTAATAGTTCCGGTATAAATATCTTATTTTAAACGACTATATTCTTCACGTGACTTCGTCTATCATATAACTACACTTTTATCGTATTTATAAAATTAAAATGTATCTAAGTATTTGATTAGTCCAGTACCTCTAGCACAATCTCTGCTCTCTCTCTGCTTAGCTTATGGCTACATACACATGCACCTACGAGCGCCTATCCCCTGGCTGCGGCATAGGGGCTCGTAGGTACACCGTGTGGTTTTTGGTGAGTAAGTCTCACACACCACCCCGCCATCCTTCCGCCGGGGTGACGATCTTTTGAAGATTTTCCACTTTTTAAAAGAAAAGAACTAGGTGGAGTTGTATTTATATCTTACTCCGAACAAACTGTCAACCATCGGAAGTAAAATTGTGCGCTAAACTGCTATTCAATTACTTTTTTTTTAATTTACTATTAATAATAATAAATTTGTGAAAATGAAGCATATCGATAATAATAAGAATAACTTCTCCCACACTTGGCTAAGGCCCGTATAGGTTAGTATTAAGTCCTTTTAAATTACCATTACATAGTATAAAACAAAGTCGCCATCGCTGTGTGTCCGTATCTGTGTATGCTTAAATGTTTAAAACTACGCAACGGATTTCGAAGCGGTTTTTTTAATAGATGCAGTGATTCAAGAGGAAGGTTTATATGTATATTCGTTTCGACTTGTAAATGTAAACTTATAAGGATTATTTAAAAGAGCAACACACAAGTTTCTTGCCCGTTCTTCTTGTGATGAGACAGCTTTCCGAACGAGCGATAGATAAGAAAAAATTGTATGACTATTCAAAAGTGCTTAAGTTAAGTTTATTTGAATGAATGATTTTCTATTCTATTGTATTTATGTACACCTGGGCGAAGCCGCGGCGAGTAGCTAGTTATATATAAAAGAAAGAAATATTAAAATTATCTTCTGCGTGGAATCCAGTCATAAATAAATTCAAGTAAAGTTCAGTAGCGTCAACAGTCGATAAGTGTACGGATACCGTGTGTTGTGTGTCGCGAACTTTCGTTGAACAATCTTGTGACGGTAGATGAAAAAACTGCTGTCACCTATCTACGTTGACATCGCTGTAACTCCAGTCAGCTCGTGACCACGGCTAGTGCTACCTAGTCGAAACGTCGAGGGAGATAAATACCTTTATTTGCCATAAAATTATTCCTGTTAAGACCCGGTTAATAATTTAAATAAAGAAAAATAGAAAAGAAACATAATAATAAGAATAATAATATTAAAGTCTTTGTGTACAGGGCAGATATAGGATAAGAAAAAACAGTGTTTGTACTATCCTTTTGTTCTTGAGAAAATAAAACAAATATTTTGTACTAGTGTAAAGGATTTTGTATTTTTCCTCCATTGATTTGGCTCAGAATGACAAATATATAGATCGAGTGTTCTTTATTTTTTTTTTAAAGTTACATAATACGATGTAGCAATGAGGGTGCATACATTTAAAAGTAACAACACCTAATGCCCAATTTACACTCAGCCCGAGTGGGCAGGGAAGTGAGCAGCGCGAGAGTGTAAACACGAGTGGAAACACTTCCCATGCCATTGGCGCTGCCAATCGCGTTGTCCTGCGGTCCCTCGATTGTCGGTTTTTCGAGCGCGAGTCAAAGGACTGGCAGCGCGAGTGGCACCGTGTTTTTACATTCAGCCCTCTCGCTCAGTTGTCGACCGGCAATACTTCCGGCAGCGCGAGTAGCAGGGGAAGCGGCTGAATGTAAACGTAGCATACGTCTTAGACAAACAGTAAATAGAAAAGTAATAACAAAAGGCGGTCTTATAACAGAAATAATAATAATAATAATAAATATATTTTATTTCATCTCCACAAATTACATAATTTTAGTTTTATTATATAAATGCTAACAAATAAAAATCACAAATATAATTTGTGGGAAATCTGGAGCCAAAACTAAGCTATAGCCTGTAACTTAGACTCAGAAATAGAAATAGAAATAATCTTTATTCAAATAATCTTAATATAAGCACTATTGAATAGTCAAGTTTTTATTTCTACCGCTCATTCGGAATGCAAACTCAGTAGATATACACTAACCAAATTAATATAAAAATAACAGATAAGCAAATATTAATAGCTTAAATTTTAGATTGCCTTATTTTGTAAAATTAATAGCTTTCCAACTCTACCATGTAGGGTAATGTCATTGACTCTACCTCTACCCACGTTAAATTATAATATGGTTTTTATTTTAAATCCACGAGTATGAATCATAATATCACTAACCTTTAACTATATTACTAACTAGGTACCCGGTCCGGCTTCACATAGGCCTATATATAAACCTTCCTCTTTAATCACTCTATCTATTTCTAAAAACTGCATTAAAATCCGTTGCATAGTTCCAAAGATCTAAGCGAACAGACGGCGGAAACGACTTCATTTTATACTATTTAGATAACAACTTTACATGATCTTAAGATTACTAATATAAATAAAGTGAAAAAGTCTTTTTTTTTTTATTAATATTATAAACGCGAAAGTTTGAGAATATGGATGGATGTTTGTTACTCTTTCACGCAAAAACTACTAAACGGATTTTATTAAAACTTTATAATAATATAGCTTATACATCAGAATAACATATAGACTATAAATTTCACGCGGGCACAGCTAGTCCTTGTGGATTAGCTGTGCGTTAAGGTGCTGTAACGTGTCCTGTGTGTGTTAAGGTTTGTGTTTAAAAAATATTGTGAAATAAAAATGTACTATAAATACTGTTATGTAAGTAGTATTGTATAATAATAGTTTTTTTTATATAAATAAAAAAAAATAGGAAGCAATACAAAGGTCGTAATCGATGCTCCATTAAATATAAACAACAATATAAAAGTATAATCTTTGTCTATAGTATATGGCTCTTTTTTAGTTGCAAATCTATAAACTATTGCAAGGTCTTTTTTTAATTGTCATTGGGTTCCTTAAAGTATGTCGAGCGCAGTGATGGCTGGCCCATACGTTATACTCGTGAACGAGAGCTGTTTGTAGGGACTGGTCTGCTCTTATCACTACGACTGATTTATTCAACCAGTTGGTTCTATATTTAATTTTCTCTATTTGAGTATTTAATTGAACTAGTTGGTAGTTTGTATTCATACACAAACTTTAAAATGTAAACAACAAAATTGTAAGCAACACGCAAGTTTTTTGCTCGTCCTTCTTGTGATGAGACAGCTTTTCGAATGAGCGGTGGATTTAAAAAAAATTGATGACTATTCAAAAGTGCTTCAATGTAAATTTATTTGAATAAATGATTTTCTATTCTATTCGAATTATAATT